AAGCCCAGATTGTTCAATTTTATTTTTTATATCTGAAACTTCAAAAGGCATGTAATAGCCTGCATATTGGGAAATACCCAAACTCGGTTTTCTCACCAGTCGTGTACAATGGTTGGAAACGTACTCAAACATTGCCTCTGCTCTATTGCTGATCAGACATAATATTTAAATCAGCTACGTCCTCAAAGAGTTATTAAACAAGATGCAGAGTTTGGTTATTCATCTAAATTTTCAACTCCTTTTTCCGTATCTGAAATTTAAAAAGGCAGGCAACAGCAAGTACACTATGAAAATTATATATCATGCAAATTCCTTTTCACGTTGGTAGGTTTGTGTATTATAGCCTACTATGTTTCAAACTGTACAGCAACATCGTCTTTAGTGTACAGCTGGTCGGACATATTATTATTATATGCTGACAAAATGCGTTACTTCTCGGATTTGAGCCCAATGGAAATAGATACATCATGCTTATATGCGAAGCTTTTATAATGTTTAAAAGTATGAAATAATAAAAAGCATTTTAGACTGAAGATATGACATCAATTGAAAATCTACAAATTTGACCCTAGTGTTGATTTTTGGCCAGTCTCTTCCTTTGTGAATTGCGAGAAGTAAATTATCATTATGTTAGCACGCCTCACATAAGTTCGCTACGGCGGCGTGAGATAGTTAATTTAATCCGGCCGGCCGCTTGGACACTTTGGCCAGTGCCTGGAGCACAACCTACCTGTAGGACTCAACCGATCTCAACAGCAAGCTCGTCACCAACAGATGCATCTCTATGGCAGCCACCATCCACAGGCAGCCCTGCAAGCCAAACGTTAGCCTAAAGGGGATACACGCAGATTGAAAAAAAAACAACAACCTACAACAAAAACAAATTTAAAAAACACCCATTACCTCTTGTAGGATTCAACGGCAGCTTCTTTCTCATCCAACGCCTCGTGGATTTCCCCCATTAGTTGATGAGCCTGAGGGGATGCCTTTTCTCTGGCATGCAGGAAGCCACAGAGGTACCTAGATATTCACAGAAAGAATTAGTCAAGGCCCCTGCTTTGCTCTGGCAGAAGAAAGGTGGCAGCAAAAAAATATTTTTTTGGTTAAATTAAAAGACATTCCTTGTCAACAAACTGTACTGAAACACATGAGTACGTTTTGCTGTTCAACTAGAGTCACTTGTAACTGTGATTATTCCTCTCTTTCCTGCACAACAGTGTGACCTAGAGACAAAATCATTTGAAAGTCTTGAACCAATAGTGTTTTGATCTTTAATAAGATACAAGAAAAAAAACATTTTTTAAACAAAATCTATTAAAATGCACTATCGACACAGTTCATGGTTAGTGCAAATACATTTTCACCGCCGTCATAGGTAGGCATGTTATACTTGTTACAAATGCATATTTACCAAAACAGTTTTCATAAAATATATTTTAAGATCGATAGAGGTTTAATTATTCGTGGAGAATACCCCACATGTACAACGGGACAACATTTATAATATATCAAGTCTAAATTAGAAAACGAAAAGGCTTACTTTTTTGCAGTTGCAAATTCCCTGATGTCCATGTACAACCTGGCAATCTGGAAACCTTGTGCATTTCGCTGTACAAAAACAAAACCAGAAGAGGGGCAATTTTAAAAAAAAAGGTAATAATACAGTCACATTGATTAATTTTTTTTAAAAGTTTTCTGTTTAAAAATTTGTTAAATCATAGAACTAAAGGGCTTGAAAGCCCCCCCC